TGTCACTATTGGCACGTACCAAGGCTAAAGTCGCTGATGTTACTGATGAACGGGTAAAATTGACACAAGAAATTTTGGCAGGGATTAGAGTGATTAAATGTTATGCTTGGGAAGATAGCTTTACAGATGCTCTTAATAAATTAAGAAATAAAGAGATTGGTTTGGTTAGGTTTTTGTTAGCTATTAGAGCTGCATTTACCGGTTTTTCAATGGTAATTTTCTTATAATAATTTTATATTTAGTTATATTTGATTATGTTTTGGTTTTTTGTTTTATATTTTTATCTCTATATCTCTTATTTGTGCTTGGTACTTTTTTAGGTCTTTCCAGTATTCGCTAGTATCTTATCATTTATAATATTTTCATTGACAGGAGGCAAACTTGACGTCGAAATCATTTTCTCTTCTTTAGCATTGTTCAACCTTCTCCGATTTCCTTTAATGTTCTTTCCAATAGGTATAACTTCTGTTACTGATGCCTACGTAGCAATTAATCGAATAAATGACTTTTTGCAAGCTGATGAATTATCAGTTTTACCGGGAATCAATCCAGACGAACAATATGCTATTAAAGTTACTGATGGTGAATTTATTTGGGAAAGTGCTCCATCCGAAGAAATTATTGATAATTCAAAAAAAGAAATGAAAAATGAAAAAAGGTCAAAAAAGCATAAAAAAAGTGATAAGAATGGAAATGATTCTTCACCTGTTGTTGTTAATGTAAAGGCTTCAGACACCTCTACAGCTTTGATACCTGATGATTTGGCTGAAAACTTTGAAAATTCTCATCTACTTTTTCCAACATTTCAGCTTCGTAACATTAATATTTCAATACCTCGTGGAAAGTTAATTGCCATTGTTGGTTTAGTAAGGTCTGGTAAATCTTCATTATTGTCAGCTCTAATTGGTGAAATGAAAAGAATTAAAGGAGAGGTCTTATTTGGTGGAAATGTTGGGTATTGTCCTCAAACTACGTGGATTCAAAATGCTACACTAAAGGACAATATTACTTTTGGATTACCTTTTGATAAAGAAAAGTATCAACAAGTGATTAAAGATTGTTGTTTAGAATCAGATTTAGAAATGTTGACTGATGGTGACCTGACCGAAATCGGAGAGAAAGGAATTAATTTATCTGGGGGGTACGTTATTGCTTTATTAATTATATATTAATGAAATATAAATTTTTTTTACAAAAAATTCGATTTTGATTCTTCAGACAAAAACAACGTGTCAGTATCGCAAGAGCTGTATACTATAATGCTGATATTGTGTTATTAGATGATCCATTATCGTCAGTTGACGTAAATGTTGGAAGGTACTTATTCACAAATTGTGTTCAAGGTGCACTTGCCAAAAAAACGCGTTTACTTGTTACGCATCATTTACATTATCTACCACAAGTCGATTATATAATCTATATGGAAGATGGTAAAGTTGCTGAACAAGGAACTTATGAGGAATTAATGACAGGTGGGAAAACCTTCTCGAAATTGATTATTGAGTATGGTGAAGCCGAAAATGCAAAAAATGATGAAGAATCAACATTGAACAAAAAAGAAAATAAAAAAGTTCCGACATTTGTTTTGCCTAAGGGGTTAATGTCAACAGAAGAACAGTGCAAGGGGGCAGTGAATAATGAGATATATTTGGCATATCTTAGGAATGCGGGTGGATTGTTATCGGTACTCATCATTATCTTCTTGCTTGTTATGGTTCAAGGAGTAAATATTGGGTATGTTTTACCTTATTAATATCTTAACCTTTTGATTTACTTGAATAATCTTATGCATAATCGAGAAAATCGCTAAACTTTTTTTTTAGAAATAATTTATGGCTTTCATTCTGGTCCAGCAACACGTTTGACTTTTCAATAGAAATTTATGTACATATCTTTAAAATTTATGAAATTTCAAATTGCAGTATAAACAGACATGACTAATTTATTTTATATTATTAAATGCAAATAAATTTCACTAATAGATAGGTATTTATTGCGTATGGGGGGCCACTCAAGGAGTTTTTATTGCATTATGTGGTTTTGCATTCACCTACAGCGGTGTCAAAGCAGCTAAAAGATTGCATAATAATGCAATTAAGCGTGTATTAAGAGCACCAACAAGTTTTTTTGATACCACTCCTTTAGGAAGAATTATTAATCGGTAGTTGTCATGTTTAAACATCTTATTTTTGGTATTTTCTAATCCAAATTCTTTAATCATCAGATTCAGTAAAGACGTCGACACATGCGACAGCATACTTTCCGAATTTTATCGACTATTTTTTATGACCTTTTCGAGTGCTATTGGAACTCTTATTTTAATCGTAGTGGTGTTTGTGTGGTTCATTATCCCGTTGGTTCCTCTGACAATACTTTATTATTTAGTAGCTCTTTTTTATCTGTCGTCTAATCGCGAGTTAAAGCGTAATTAATCGTTTTCATCACTATCTAATAATAATTATATATATGTTTAAAATTTTTTTAACATTTTTACTTTATTACAGGCCTTGATTCAGTATTAAGATCTTCGCTATATGCTCATTTTTCTGAGACACTTATGGGATTGCCAATTATTCGCGCTTATCATGAAGAAGAAAGATTTTTAAGGTTTTAAAAATTTGACGCTTTATTAGTTTGATATAATGTCTTATTATTCTTTTTTTTTTCATATAATTAACAATAGAAATAATGAAGCATTCTTAGATATCGAAAATAGGGCATACTTTCTCACTATATGCACCAAATTATGGCTGACAGTGCGTCTTGACACTATTGCAAATATCGTAGTATTTTTTGCAAGTTTGTTTGCAATAATTTTTAGATTAAACACTGCACCCTCAATTACTGGATTAGTATTATCTTATGCACTTCAAGTTAGCGTATCTTTAAATTGGTGTGTTCAACAATTTGCCGAAGTAGTGAGTAAACAATAATATTTTAATAATATATTTTAAATTACTAATTTTTTCACTTTCGCATAACAGGAAGCCAACATGAACTCAGTGGAACGTTTAGTTCATTACAGTGACAATTTAGAAATAGAAGCTGATGATATAATACCAGACAACAGGCCACCACCTGGATGGCCAGCTCATGGAGAAATTCATATTAAAAATTTGAAAATTAGATATAGACCTAATAGTCCTCTGGTTTTGAATGGTATCTCAGTTAATATTATCGCTGCTGAGAAGATTGGGATTGTTGGTCGAACTGGTAAATTTTAGACCTCAGTTTGAGAATTATTGAGATTCAATATTAAATTCTTTTAAATAATAGGATGTGGAAAATCAACGTTGGCAATGTCGTTCTTTAGATTAATTGAAGCAACTTCTGGAAGTATTGTAATTGATGATGTTGATATTAGTAATATTGGATTAAAAGATCTTAGAAGTAATATTACTATTATACCTCAGGACCCTGTACTATTTAATGGTACTATAAGGTAAACAAAATCCTTGATTCTATATATTTATTAAAGCCTTTCTGTTAACCGAACATTGAATTGCTTTAAAAAAATAGAAGCAACTTGGATCCATTCAACAAGCATAGCGATCTTGAGTTATGGAATGCACTTCGTCGTGTACACTTAATTAAAAATTCTAATTCTACTTCTGAAAAAGAAGAATCAGATATTTTCCTTCCTATTTTGGATCAAAAAAATTACAAACAAGAACAAATAATGCTTGACTCGCCTGTCAAAGAAAATGGATCAAATTTTTCCCAAGGTCAACAACAACTGATTGCAATAGCCAGAGCACTAGTTCGTCATTCCAAATTAATTATAATGGATGAAGCTACTGCGAGTCTAGATTTCAAAACTGATCATCTAATACAAGCTACAATTAGGGAAGAGTTTAAAGATAATACTGTTATTACTATTGCGCATAGATTGCGAACTGTCGCAGACTATGATAGAATTCTGGTTATGGGTACGTATTTTTAAGAGAAAATTTTTAATGATTTGAAATATTAATTCTCTCAAAATTAGATGCTGGAAACATAGTTGAATTTGATAGTCCATATATACTGATGCAAAAGCTTGATGGGTTATTTAGAGAAATGTGTGAGAGAAGTGGTGAATTCGCAGAATTAATGGAAATTGCTAAGCAAAAATATGAGAATATATCGTCGACACATTGATGCATTTACTAACATGCAATGGAGTAACGAATCTACATGTGAGAGGTTGAATTTAAGTTTACTAAAATGTGCTAAATGCACTATAGGTATTACCATAGCATAAAAACGACTAAAGAATTAATGCTAGTGCTTTAAATGTAAATACTTAGTGCTTCAAACTCATTTTTTAAAATTTAATTCAAACTCCTAATTATAAATATATGATGTTTACATCTTAGGTGTACTGTATTTAAATTTTATATTATTAACCATATACAATACATTGTTAGTATGAAGTAAATATTATAATAAAATAGTAAATTAGCTAACCAGAGCAGAAAAAATAATACAAGAATTACAATATATATATTTATTTATTGTGCAGCCATGTTATTGACGACCACACTAAAAATTCTCATATTTGTACAGTTTACGTTATTACTGTTTTTATGTCTTTTTTTTATGGCTTAAATTTAACGATGGTCTTATTCTTAAAAAAGGGGATATAAGAAAAAAGAGTTTAAATTGATGACATAGATGAAAAAATAGTGCAGTCATCAATAACAGCTTCACAATAATACTGTTATTGGATAGAGTTAAAAATATTCATGTAGGTGTTAAACGGCGAGCATTAAACTCATAAAGCAACTCCAAAGTTCTTCTGGTTATACGAAATTTGATTGGATTTAAGATTCAATGAATTTTTTATAACGCAAGTTCGAAAATACATCAAAAATTATTTTATAGAATTAATTATTTTACCAATTAAATATATAACATTGAATCTTTAATTGAAAAAATTGTTTTAATGTTAAACAAAACAGTAAAGTAAAATATTCACAATAATAATTAATAATAAAATTTCGTATTATAAATTTTAAAGTTCTTGTTTATAATTATATTTCTAAATTCATTCTTGAATAGCCCTTCGAGAATCATATACTTGACATAAGATTTTGACTTGTTAGTAATTTTGTTTCAGATAAAAAATTTTTTATTTTGAAATTTATTATCTACAAATTCGATATAAAATATAAATATTGAATATATACAAACATTAGAAAAAAAAAAGATTGTAATATATAAACACTTAATTAATTAACCTTATTTAAATCAATTATTATAAAACGCACCTATGGTGGTTTTGCACCTATTATATGTTTTTATTATGTTTTTTAAAATTTTCTAAGTTTTATAAGTTTTGTATATAAAATTTTTAACATCAATTTTTTCACGTTAAAGTTAATATTAAGGTTAGGATTAGGGTTTGGGAAGGGTTTTTGGGGCGTAAAGCATTTTTACTTAGAACACCTCACATCGATTAATTAGCCAGTTTTTGAGATAATACAACATAGATGGTAAAACACCATAGGTGCGTTTTAGTAAAAGTGCATTTAAATAATCTAAGATCTGTTAAAATTTTTAAGTGTTATTCTATGCAATTACGGGCTTTCTATATTTTATCTAATTGGATTGCAAAAACCTATTGATGTAAGTGCATCAAGCGATCTTTTTGAGATGAGTCCTAACGAATCTCTAAAATAATTAATCAGAACTCAATTCCAAAGTAATTTTTAATATAATAGAAACACTTCTCTTCGTCACAATCACAATCGATTTTGGAGTGATGATCATTACTCTAGAAGTTTGCAATCACTGACTTATCGTTCTCTTCGGTTAAGTTGGGTCAACGACCTTTGTAATTTTTTGAGTCATGTGGTATAAAATTGTAATCACTTCAACTTCTTCATATTTCATGGGACTCATTTTAATTCATATTTTTATCGATAAATAAATTAACAAAATACGACAAATATAAGGTGGCTACCTACAGATTCACAGGACTTAAAAAAATTACCAAGATCGTTGATCAAACTAAATCGAAAAAAACATCACTCATTATCTGTGTCAATTTATTACCTTCTATTTACTGTCATTCAAATTGATATTACTGGTAGTAAATGAGGGTTTCAAAATTAACAATCTGAAATCAGATGTAGATAAAAATAGATAATGTATATACATTTAAATAGGCAGTGTATTTATTTTCCGATTACAAACTTTGAAACACAATTTCTTAGCACTCCTGTTCATTTCAAGGGTACGCCATATTTTTTAATTCTGAAACCTCTTAATAATTAAAGTATTTAAATAATCTATTAATCTTCATACTTGCCATATAGGGCTTAAATTTTACGTAGTAAAAATTAATTTGTACCTCGAATATATTATATGGCAGAGGGTAATTATACATATTGAATAAGATGGGTAGCGCGTAAGCGCCACCCATCGCACTAGTATTGATAGAAAACGAACAAAAACTTCATGTAAAGAAGCTTATAAATCAATAAATACACGTAAAAGAATTTTCATATATGTTTAAAAAACAGATAGATTCGCGTAAAGTAGGTAAAATATGATATTTATTACTAAAAAACCAAACACTTAAAGAATCTACAAGAAATAAATTAAAGACTAATTTACGGTTGATAAATTATCATCAACCAAATTTAAATTTACTAATGATTTACCAGTTTCGATCACATCGTAATAACTCTAGATTCAGTAATCCAATTTTGATATGGTTTTCTAGTAAATTCTAATTTGGTTCCGTGCTTATATATACTATAAGTTTAATAAATTATATCTGTAATGATGATATGGAAAATTGCGATTAAGTATATTATTTAACTAGTTTGTTGTATACAGTAGATTCCAGTTTAACGTTAAAACTAAAAATTAAAAAAAGACATTTTTTTAGTTAGCGTTAGCTCATACTATATATAGAATGTGATACATACGTTGACCTATGAACCATAATCCATATTATCCGCTCAGTCCGTTCAAAAAATGAGAAATAGGCTAGGCGAATCCTCGATTGAAAATAAGTACCATTCTCTTAACATGCAAACAATTGTGAATATAAGGTCATTCATGCGAATAACTAAATCATTGATTATCCATACTTTCGTTTTTAATACTTTAATTTTTGAAAATTGTGAAATCATTTTATTTTAAAATATCTGAAATGGTTTTATTAAATCTTGCCAATGATCTTTAAACGCTGCAGTTTCTATATCACAAAAACTAGCAAAATAACCAATGCTGGATGTTACAAGTAAACATGTTCTGCGCTCCAAAAACCTCACCCAACTAAAATTTTTACTATAGTTTAGGTTCCCCGACCCTAAATTTTACTAGTAAAAACTATTAAAAAATATATGTGGTGTTAAATACCACTGGTAATATTTAGTTATTGGTCTGAAAAACTAATTATTAAATCTTGTGCTTTGCTAGATAAATTTGAATTAATACAAGGAATTAGTTTGCTTCCACTAAAAGTATCTACATATGATTTCTCAATATGTTCATGTATTTCAGGTATCTCGGGTGTTATTGGTTTAGATTCGCTTAACTCAGTAAGGATTTATTCGTCGCCTTGCCAATTTTTAAAAATATTACAGAGTTCTTCTACCGATGGTCGTTTATTCGGATCTTTATTCCAACATTTTTCCATCAAGTTTACATAACATTGAGGCGTTTCTTTGTTAACGGGTGGTCGCAAACCATCAAGTATTTGCATTGTTTGATTTAAAACATCATCTAATTTATAATAATACAATACAGTTATACCGTACAATACTTCCCACATGACTATGCTGAAAGAATAAATGTCGGATGCCATAGTGGGTTGTTGTCTGTTTAAAATTTCTGGGGCAATTTAAGGCAAAACTCCATAAACTTCACCATCCTTTTGTTTTAGATATTGGATCGAAAGACCCAAGTCTGCGATGTATGCGCTATGCAAATTATCTTGTAATATGTTACCACTATGAAGGTCTCGATGAATAATTTCTTGTGAATGAATTGCTTTAAGGTCAGAAGCTATGCTAAATAACAAGTTAAGGCCAGACCAAGTTGATTATGTGTTTTACATTACCCCCCTCTCCCTTCCAGGAGAGGGGGGGGGGGGGGGGGGG